CACACACACACACACACACACACACACACACACACACACACCAACACACACACACACACACACACACACACACACACACACACCAACCCCAGCCTGACCCCTTTTCTTTTTTATTTGTTTTCATCTTAATTTTTTTTTAACACCCAATTTCCCGACACAAAATCGGAAAAAATTTCTCAAAAAGTACAGGACAACTCAGCAACCATGTCCCTTATGAAACAAAATGAGAAAAAAATTTGTGCTTTTTTTTTTTTTTTTTTTTTAATAATTTGTTTAAATCGATTTTCGTTTTTCATTTTTTAAAAATCTTAAACGAGGTCGGATTCCAAAATAAAAAATATAGGATTGTAGGGTTTTGCAAGCCCTACAACCCCATATATATATGTATATATATACAGGGTTGCCAGCGTTCGGGATGGGCCGAACGCCCGAACCCGAACGCCCGAACGTACGGGACCCCTTAGGAAGGCGTTCAGCCGTTTTGGCCGACCGCGGATCAAAAAAAAAAAACAAACAAACAAACAAACAGCGTTTTCAAAAACTTCCGAAACAAATATATGTTATGGAGAAAAATAAACTTAACAACATTTGCCAGGGCACTACATCCAAATTCTTTACCAAATTTGAATAAAAAATCAAATACAGAAAATGAACACTACGATAAAAAAAAGAAAAAATAAAAAGAGAATTAAAATGAGTGAAAGTGCCAGCACCTTTTCGACACCGCCATCTTTGCCGATTTTTAATTATTTTTTGGCATTGTTAAATGCTCTGAAAATTCACAGATATGTACTTTACATAATCAATAATTCACTAAAATGTTTTCAAAAAATATATATTTTTTTAAGCCCTGAAATGAAGTGAAAACAAAAAGATAAAAGTGAAAAAAAACAAAATAGTGAGTGGGCGAGCACGTTTTGACACCCCCATCTTTGACGATTTTTAATGTTTTTTTGGCATAGCAGAATGGCTTCAAAATTTATAAGCGTGTAGGCTACATCATAGACAACTCACAAAAAACAATTCAGAACCTGGAGGTGTTCAGCCCCCGTACGGGACCCCGAACGCCCGAACGTTCGAGGGACAGTCCGAGGGGGCCCGAATGTCGGTCAGGTAACCCTGAATATATATATTCAGGGTTACCTGACCGACATTCGGGCCCCCTCGGACTGTCCCTCGAACGTTCGGGCGTTCGGGGTCCCGTACGGGGGCTGAACACCTCCAGGTTCGGCCCCCGCCAAAAAAAAATTCCGGGCCTTAAAATAAGTTTTTTTTTCTGGCTAAGCCACAAAAAACATTAAAAATCGTCAAAGATGGGGGTGTCAAAACTTGCTTACCCACTCACTGTTTTTTTTTTCTTTTCACTTTCTACTTTTTGTTTTCACTCTTTTTCGGGGCCTAAAAAAAATTCTTAGTTTTTGAAAACTTTTTAATGCGTTATTGATTATGTAAACTACATATCTGTAAATTTTCAGGGCATTTGTCAATGCCAAAAAAAAAAAAAAAAACGGCAAAGATGGCGGTGTCGAAAAGGTGCTGGCACACTCACTCACTCAATCGATCGATCAATCAATCAATCAATCAATCAATCAATCAATCAACCATCAATCGACCAACCATCCATTTTACGAGCAAAATCAAACGACCCCCCTTAACCAACCGATCAATCAATCAATCAATCAATCAACCAACCATCCATTTTATGAGCAAAAT